GACCGTGGCCGTGTACAGTACAAGCACCTGAGCGCCCCCCCCGTTGTGGCCCATCGTTAACCACACACCGTGAACAGTCCACGCGTTGTTTCCCCCCCCCCCCTCCACACGAGGCGAAGGAAGCCGGGTCCTGCCCATCAGGCTAGCCCCGAGCCCGCTCCGAAACCGCCGGCCTGGCCCAGCCTGGTAGTTTCCTTGTAAGCCAAGGGCATAAGAACCCTCTTCCCTGGCACACTGTGTTTTCTTCCCCTTTCTCAAATCGTTCATCTAAAATAATGTTACCTTATTTGTCCTTCTTGCCTCTCACCTTAGCTTTAGGAGACCTAGATTTACAAAACAAGGAAGTTGGTTGGGCGTTTTTAAAAGTTAACATACAGGACTGATGCACCATTAAGCCAATATAGGTATAGTTCTTTGTAATTTCTGCCTCTCTAATAATGTGGTTGTCATTGAATTCACACCGTAGGGTCAATCAGGTATTTTTGGCAAGCATAAAATTTCCTTTCTGGTGCTAAAACCTGATGGCCAAAACGTTGACCGATGCTTGTAGCTGGGGATGAAGTAGATTTCACTCGCATACTTTATTTTATGAAACAACAAATACACGTTTTCTCAAAGGACACATTTCAATGTTTCTAACAGCTCATCATAACATATATGAAACATTTAGTCATTTTACTTCCGTTTCAACCAACCTTTTAGAAATTTCCGTAACCCGGTTGACTTTTGCCCATTATTTTGTAGGAAGCTTGGGTCCACAGGAGAGAGAGGCAGGGAAGAGAGACCGAAAGCTGCCATTTGACTTCAGCTTTCAAGGGAGATCGCTATCTCGCCGCTCCAGATTTATCATTTTAAGTTGATCATTAAGTATGTGTTGATGGAGCTTCCTCTTAGCACGTAAAATAATTCCTTGATATTTCTAAACCTTAGGTAGATAGATGCCAGAACTTCTGGGGCCCATCAGAATCTTTTCTTGATAGTTATTATAAAATGGGGCTCGGAGTTCGCATAGGAATACACAAAATAGCATACCAAAATTCATATGTTGTTTTACGCTGTAAATTCTGATCCTTTACCTAGTAATTTAGTATGTACTCCAATTATGCTAGTGACGATGGTCACTGGTCTACAAAGCTGCTTTGTTTTGCCCTAGATAGTTTTGCAGGAAAAAAGTGGGGAAAATCAGGATTGGGAGATCCCAGAACTAGGGACCAGCTGGCAGATTCCCACTCTGCTGCTGCTGTTTTGAAGTGGCATCTCCTGACTTCCCACTGGTGGTCTGCTCTAAGAGAACCCCGTTGGATTTGGCACATGCCCTCTTGGAAGAATTGGCTCCGCGGTGAATCTTGTGAGTCAGCAGAATTCCATAGGAACGGAGCACCTTTGGTTTTCTGGCCTCTTCACTTGGGCGTTGGGTTTGCCAGCAGGCCCAGAGGTCGCTTGGCATTGAATGGCTTCCATAATTGCAGCCGTTCTCCTGGAGGCAACAGCTGCAGCAGAGAGCTGCAAAGAGGGGCAGGCCAATTGCATTCCATGCTTGGTCTTGGAGGTAGGGACGTCCTCGATTTTAAGGAAAACGAAGCAAAATTAGCCATCTCGGCGTCATAGTGTGGGATCCTCCCTTTGAAATTCTCCGCCGAAGGCAGCAGCGCTCCTGGCTCTACCACGGAAGTGGAAATCCAACGTTAAGTTGGTCTCTTGAAGCTCTGCTGGGATATAGAATTGATTAGGCGAATTGGCGGAAATCAGTAGAATATAAGTCAGGCTCAGCAGTTAGGTGGAATCGTGCTTTGGCTTCATTTTGGTAAAAGCCGCCTTTCCCTCCTTTGTATGCTTTTCCCCTGTGAGTGAAGTGCACTTTTAGCCTAGCAGATAAAAATCTACTTTGTCCATTCACAATAACGTTCTTAAAATGTTACTGGTTGTGAGTGTTGCTTTTCATGCAGCTGCAACTCTATGGTCTGCCCTAGTTTTGTGGTTCAGTGCAAAGCAGGCTAGGAACTCTGGTGCTGCAGCCGCTGTGTGGCTCTCGTCTTCCTTCATGAGGAAATCCCACTCTGCATGTTGCTGTCCCCAGCGCCTTGGGGGGTCTGGTGTGCAGCCAGAGGGGGCCCTGAGAGTGCGGCTCAGCGGCCTCCCCCCCCCCCCCGGCTTGCTTCAGCTGGCAGGTCTTGGCTCTTCCTGGGCACTTCTGGGAAAGAGAAGCACCGCCTCCATTTTGTGGCAGGGCAATCCTGCCAGAAGATTCGCGAACGAGGCTTGGCTGGGGAGAGTTTCCGCAGCTTTCTTCTTCGGGGCCACTAGGCGGCTGCAGAGACAACCAGCTCTAAAAGAAAACAGAATTTGAAAAGTTATTTCTAGTTTTCAGCACAAAGCTAGAATAAAAAACCTTCTAGGTGTAGGGACTTCTGGCGCTAACTTACGAAAACGTATTGAGCCTTCCGTTTATTTTTCCTCTTGGAACTAAGCCAGAGCGTGATGTCCTGTTATAGAGATGTAGTCTTTTTTTAGGAATATTTATTTGGGCAAGTGTGGTTAGAGACACAAGGAATCTTGTCTGTGGCACAAAAGCACTTGGTTCACTTGCATTCAAACGACAGAATCATAATCACGTTCATAATCATAGTGCCAGCGACATCGCTCCTCTCTGCTTGCCCTTCTCATTTTGGTGTTCTCCCCTCTGCGTTACGCTGTCTTCGGGCTTTGTGATTGTTGAGTCCTTCCTAGCCTTTTCCAGCATTCATCTTGGTGCCTGAACTGTACAGCTGCCCTGCACGTTCGGTTATCCCCCCCCTCCTTCTCTTTCTCCTCTGAGCTTCTGCCAAGGCTTCATTGGTCCTCCAACAGCCAGACACTAATCCTTGCCCTGAATTCTGCCATATGTGGTGCAGCCAGTGTGGAAACTGCCTGAATTAGTGACAGGAGAGGGGGAATGTCTGGACCAGAGCCGGGAGGAGAATCCCATGCTGCGCTGCTGGCTGGCTGGCTCCAGTCATGTGATCTGTGAGCTCACACAGGTTGACTGTGAGGCAGTAGCCTACCTGAAGAACATTCTGCACAGGTAGGCCAATGTGGTCCCATGGTGGGCTAACCGCAGGACTAGCAATTCCCCTTACCCTGTGAAAGCACCATAGCTTCATGGCAACCACGTTGCTTTGCTCTGTAGCCAGGGGGAAAACGTTTGGCAAGTTGGAGGTGGCAGAGTCGCACACTTTTCAGTAATAATAATTTTACTCAGAATTGTCGTTAGTAGCTTGCCACGCAGCTGTAAGCCAACCTGTGTTAGGTCTTCTGGGACTATTTTTGCTTTGACATTGCAGTCTTAAGATCCGGCCCTTGAGAAGTCTCGTATTTGGGAGCAGTCCCCAGTGAATGCAGAGTATCTGAGTAGGCATGCGTTTGAGGGCCGGTTTGGTCTCATGGTGAGACCGTGAGTTCCAGTCCTGCCAAGGGCACAAAGCCAGATGGGTGACCCTGGGTGAACTCAGCCCTAGGAAGGAGGCAATAGCAAACTGCTTCTGTAAAACCTTGCCCAGAAAAATGCAGAGATTTCCTGACAATTTCCCAAGAATCAGACGGGATGGAATGGAGGGGAGAAAAAAGGCACACTTAGGCCTTAGGCTGCTCTTCCACCTGGAAATGTGTGGCAGAAACCAGGCCTAACAGCCTTGAGACTCCAGTTATCTTTTCTCTGCTATCTGGCCAAAACATTCATTTCCTAGAAAGGGGTTCTGTTCATTTCAAAAACTGAACAATTCAACCTGGTAAAATTGTGTCGCCTAATTCTGCTTTGGCCATGAAATCAAGCGCACAGTTTCGCTGCTTGTTGTGGTCTGAATAATTCTGGAGTTCCTTTCTTGCTTTGATCCTTTCCCAGGTTGAGATGAAAGACGCATGTTGGGCTTAGCAGCAGAAAATATAGAGATGAATAAGTCGGGTTGAGAAGGGAGTTCTGTATTTGACAAGCTTGGGGGGAAATTTAAGGGCCCCAAAGAGACCAAACAAGTGAAGGGAAAGAGCTAAGCTGGAGTGAGGCACAAAGCTATCTCAAGACTGAAGAGATCTTACTAAGTTTCGCTTCCTTTTTTCATTTCGATATTGATAAAACCAACTTGTCAATAATTGCAGGAGCAAATGTCTTAACTTGGTTTGTATTCAGATAGCTTGCAAATTTTCTGGCTTGTAGTATAAAAGATATCGGCTTCTGTATTGGCATTTCTTTAGTTTCTGAAGTTGGGGCTTTCCTAATTTAGAATACTGGAAACTAGACTTTAAAAAAATGGGTTATCATCAGATTTTATTTTAAAAAATCGATTAGGCTCACTTATGCTAAGCCAAAGCCTAATTTGTTGTGCTTTATTTGTTGTTTGAATCCATTGTTTGTAAACTAATTTATTGCACTGCCAGTTGCTATTATCAATGAATTGTGGTTAACTAATTCTGCTTCAGAATGATTGTGAAGCAGTTCATATTAGATGCATAATAGCAAGGGCTAGTCGGCCAGGGATGCTTGAGAAATCCATATGCCATATCTGATGGCTCTTGTGATTGTGTAGGTGTCGGGCACGAAAAACCAGTTTTATACGTGAAGGACCAACTAATCTCAAGAGCTGGTGAACAGGAGGAGTCTTCTCAACTGACAGGACCTGTTTGGAGTTAGAGAAGGATCCACGGAATCCAAGTGGGTTGGATGGGGTTTGCCCACTCCCTCTCCCTTGTAAAGGGAGGAGGAAGAGGGAATGACCTTGAGGGACAGGAAGAAGAGCTGCCACTAAGGGGTCACTCATATAAAAGGGTCCTGAGCCCAGAATATAACATGAGGACACCTAACGGACAGGCTCTCCTCCTCTTCAGATCATATGAAGAGGGAGGGAGGGAGGGAGCACATTTAGACATGCAAGATTCAAGCTTTAAAATAGAAGTCGTACTGACCTGCGTGGCATCATTTTTCTAGTCTGGCCTTCCCTGAACGGCCAACTCATCTTTTCCAGCAGGTGAAGGCCCAGCTTCCGTTTTCTATAGACAGCGCTTAAAAAATCCTTTCATGTTGCTTTTATTTTCTCTTGAAGGATCAAATTCTTTTTATATTTTGCATTCTTTACTGTACTTCTGCAGATACTGCCTGTTTGCTGATAAATCTCTTTAGTGATTACATACTTTTTATTTATAGCTTAGTCAAATGATCTGTCCGTCCACAAGAGGTGTTCCCCATTTTTGTCTCATTGTATGTCAAGAATTGTGTGTCACTGGGAATTGAGTGGCATATAAATGGTGGTAATCATCATCATCATCATCACCATGATCCCAATCCACCAATGTTCCCTTTGCCCTGTAAATGTCCAGGGGTTTAAGCTCCCCTAATTATCTGGTAATTGACTAAAATAAATATTAATCTAAGCTCTCCTAACTCCATAACTAGATGTTGGCTTGTATCCAGACTTAATTATAATTTGAGTAACTACATTCAAAGAACTCGGCCTTAATCGTCATATGTAGCTGATTTCCGTTGTTTTTAATGAGTTTAAATGTGAACTATTACAGTAATTGCATTTTATTTGTAAGTTTCAGTCTTACTCATTTTTTGTGCGCCACCGTTGAACCTGGGGTTAATTTGGCTGTCTTGCACTTTTTTCCCCTGCCAAATGGGCTAGGGGTATTGATTGATGATTGACAGTTACTTCTGCAAATTTATATACCGGTGCCAGAATTGTGACAAAGGCATCATACCAATGAATTGTGTGTGCAGTGGGCTAAAAAAATTTGGACATGAAGTTTTAACATTACAGTAGCGGCAAGCAAAAAAGGAGCAAGAGCTGTAAATTTTAAATAAAAAGCTAAAACTAAACACCCCCCCCCCCAAGCACATACATAGAAGTCATGGGGGAAAAACTGTGTATGGGGACATGGCACTTTTACCATGCCCCCCCCCCTGCTCTGAGACCTCCAGGGGGGGGGAGTAATTGGTTTTGATAGCTGTCAGTATGATCAGAGGCTTGGCCTTCATAAGGTAATAATATCTGGGTAAGTGATTGCGCAGGTAGAGCTGAAGTCACCTGTTTTTCCCCAGTTGTGGGCCTTTAGGTCTGTAGCTCTCTTAAATTGTATTGAAATGATTCTCTGGCTCCCTCCTGGCTCTACACCCCCTATTGGTTTTGCCTTTTAGAAAAGCTTTAAGAAACCTGGGTTTTCAGATAGGCCTGAATGTTTTGTGATTCCGATTGATTGATTGATTGATTGATTGATTGATTGATTGATAGCTGATTGGCTGGCCAGTTGGAATTCTTTGTTTATTTTCACAGTGTGCTATTTGGTTGTGTATTATTAGGATGACTCTCTATGATGCCTTTTGATTTGACAATATTATAAATCTAATACATCATTATTATAGTAAGACCTTAGGGGCCAAAGAAAGGCCTTGGGAAATCAGCACTAAATTCTCCTAGTCAGCAGTTACGTAGAGGAGCTTCTTTCTTCTTACATCTGAAGGCGGAAGCATCCTGCAGCTCGCGTGATCCACCGCCTCTACTCCCACCATCCTCGAATCTGTTGTTCAGCGATCGGCCGCTTCCCTCTCCTCCTCAACCCTGTGGGCCACCTGCTTTGAAGGTGCTTGCGGTCTTAAGGCCTTTGGGTTCCTGGCCTTCAGAGAGAGCCTCTGTGGTAGAAAGAGGCCGGCTCACAAACTCATTTCGGGCTTGAGGAGTCAGCCTTGTAGTTCTGCTTTTGGAGAAGCCTGAAGTTTTGCTGTGGGAAATGCCCTGGGGCAAAACGGAAGGCTTAGAAAGTGCTGCTGTCCTTCCTCTTTTGAACATGAAAAGCTGCTGACTGTGGAGCTCGCTCTCTGCTTTTAATCCCTTGTCGCTACCTCAGAGTAGGGCACATTATATGTCTCTATTCCCAAAGATGAGCTGATATAAAAATGCCAGAGGATTTTAGGTTAACCTTCGGAAATAAAACCCAGACAACTTTAATCATAAATGAAGCTGGAAACTCTTGCAGCAAAGTGTGAGTGTGAGATGAATTTACATACTGCCCTGACTTCTTAGGCCCGGAGGTTTATCTTCCAGTTGGCAAAATGAAGGGTGTTTTCATCCAGAACCCCAAGGTGGAATTTCTGATTTTGCAATTTTTCTACTCCAACTAAAGCAGGTCCAGTCTCGCTGCCATTAAACCAGCAGACACCAACTGTGGTCGTCCGTGGGAAAATGTTGTTGGTGCACGGAAAAATTATTTGCATTTTTTATATTGCACTAAACCAGGGATCCTCAAACTGTGGTCCCTGGGCTGGATGCATGCAATGAACGCTTGTGTTGCTGCAAAGAGTCTCCCCCCTTGGGGTCTTTTTTTTTTTGTAGGTGGGAGGAGGGCAGAAATTCCGACTCGGGGCCCGCTTCAGCCTCCTGGTGTGGGGCTTTGGGCAAAGGCAGGGAGGAAGTGCCGCTGGTGACGAAGAGTCGGAGGGCCTTATTCCAGGGGGACTGCCTCATGGCCTGGAACTGGCTGACCATCCCAGCCTGCTGAGCCTCCAGGCGCCGGCACCTGGCCTTGCACGCCCGCAGGTCTTCCCTCTGCTTGGAAAGCCTATGCTCGTAGTCCTCAGTGAGGTGCTTCTGCTGAGCCTCCTCCTCGGTCAGATCCAGCTATTTTGCCAACTCTTTCTCCTGGGGGCTGCTTAGTTCCAACGACTCTTTCCTATCTGGGCCTTAAGGAGCCCAGGTGGGCAAGCGAGGAGTGGCTGGGAAGGGTGGGGCGAGTAGAGGCCGGAGAGGCGCCCCTCATGTGACATCAAATTGGCCATGCCCACCCAGTCACATGATCACCTAGCCACGCCCACCCAGCCAGTCATTGAACAGGTCATATTAGTGGTCCCCGGGATTTAAAATGATGAATTTAGTGGTCTCTGAGGTCCAAAAGGTTGGGGACCCCTGCATTAAACAATTGCCAGAAAAAAATGTATTCAAATAATTCTGTAGTTCTAGGATTATTTTCTGGTCCCATAGACCAACTTCACCACATTTTCTGGCTTTCTTTCTTCCAGTGTCAGTCATGGGAATAAGAAAGATGCGATTTCTTTTCCAGCAAGAAGAATGAGGTTTCTGACTTTGGATTTGGAGTGGAGTTGCTTCCTAGTGGCAAATTTTTCATTGGAAGATACAGATCAAAACTATTTCAGTGTTATGCATTTGTGTGCAGTAAATGATTTCATTAAATCTTTAGTAATTGACAGCTGAAGGTTGATTATGAAGCCAATTTTACTTTCTGTTTGGGTAGCAAAGCATTTAGTAAGTGAAAATTTGGTGTTTTCAGTCACTGATATATGTTTTGCATAATAGAAAAATCAATTGTTTTTGGATTGTATTATACTACTTTATATCAGATTCTCACTGATTTATCGCTTGCCAAAATTAGTCAGTTGCAGCTTATCTAATCAAAATATGTAAATTATAGTGCAATTGATAATTCATCTGTGTTTGTAGGTAGGTTTCTGTTCTTGGGAAAATATTACAAGGATCTACTCTGGCTAACGCGTTTCTTTTTTCCTTTCTTTTAGTTACTGAATTGCCTAGGGATTTTTGAAAAAAACATGGGAATATTTTGCAATTGATGTTATTCTCAGTTTTGAAGCCTGGCTTTGCTCTTTTTCCTGCTACTTCCAGTCTTGACTTTGCTGCTCTACCTTTTCAGGGAGGATGGGGAGTTGGAAGAAGGGGAGTTGGAAGACGACGGGGGTGAGGAGCCCAATGGTGCTTCGGAGACACATGAGAAGAGCAGGAAGGAAAAAAATGAGAAGCACCACAGTGACTCGGACGAAGAAAAGACGCACCGGAGGAAAAGGAAGCGTCGGAAAGAGAGGGAGAAGGAGAAGCGGAGATCGAAAAAGAAAAGAAAATCTAAACACAAAGTGAGTAATGCAAGATGAGTCTTGAGCGGCTAACCTGTTTTCTCTCCCCCCCCCCTTTGGAAGCAGGCGAGCGAGACGTCTGTCCCAGGTGTGTGTGTGGGGGGGGGGGACTGGGGACAAAACGCAGGCTGCCTTCTGTGCCCCTCGCAAAACCAAACTAGTTGTTTGGTTGGGGAATGGTGCCGTTTCCAGGCCCTTTCCTCTGCATGTGGCCTGACAGAGGATGCCGAATTCCCACCAGGGGAGGATCCTTGTTGACCTGTCCATCTTCCAGGCTTTGGCCAGAATTGGGGGATAGGAATTCAAAAGGACTGCAGTGGGGGGGGGAGCACCTGGTTCGGAGTCAATGACTTCTCTTTCCTCGCAGCGCCACGCCTCTTCCAGCGAAGATTTCTCTGACTACAGTGAGGATTCTGACTTCAGCCCAAACGAAAAGGGGCATCGGAAGTACCGCGAATACAGCCCCCTCTACTCTTCTGTGAGTGCTGAGGGTCATCCCTAAGGGTGGCCTGAGGGTGGGATCCCCCAGGTAGATAATCCTGTCAGATGTCCGGGTAGTTTAGCAGCCAAGATTGTGCTGTTTGGTTCTCCATGCTGGATTTAAAATGGCAGCAAATCCTCGGTGATGGCTTCTGCTCATTGTGTAAAAGTGATTCTTTACAGAATAATGGTTTATAAAATGGGTGGAGACCCACTTCTTCTTCTTCCTTTGGGGGTCCTCCTCTCTTTTGTTCAACCATAACCATTTGTGTGTTTGCCTCCAGTCCCATCAGCAGTACTCATCGTCTCACAGCGCCCCAAAGAAGGGGTATCCTAAAATGGAGAACAAGAGCTACCCTCCCTACGAAGAGTACGAGAACGAGGGCTACTGCGCCTACGAGGGGGAGGAGGAGGAGGAGGACATGGGGAAAGAAGACTACGATGACTTTGCAAAGGAGCTGAACCAGTACCGGAGGGCAAAGGAGGGGACGCACAGGGGGCGAGGTACTACGCTTGCTTTTCCTCCAGCCCGGACGCTGAGCGAGCGAGGCAGGTGCCGCCCACTAGGCAGCCAGGCAAAACAAAAGGGAAATCCGGGCCCTTCCTGAAACTGGGGCCCTCTGTCCATGGCCCTCCGTGAGGAGGGTGTGCTGCCTTTTTAAATGGCCCAGCAGCTGCCGATTCCTGCTTCCTTTCTTCAGCAGTGAGGAACTGGGCACCTCTGCCTGTTGAGGCCGCCAGTCCTCGTTTGCGCGTAACCCATCCAAGTCCCAGTTGACTCTAGTGCCAAAAGGGCGCTAGGCTCCTGGTAATGCAGTATTTTCAGGTTAATGCTTTTTCCTTCTGGGCTTCTTTGAATTGGGAGCTGAGTTTTAGGAAGCGGCACGAAGGTCTGTACGTGTTCTCCCCTTTGGTCTGTAGAGGCTACTATACGACATTGCATGAAAACGTGGTTGTCTCTCAAAACTGGGAAGAGATTCTGGCCCTAAACCAGTGGGAGTCAACCTGGCCCCTACCGCCCCCTAGTGGGCGTTCCAGCTCCCATGGTGGGCGGCAGAGGGTTGCTGTAACTCTGCATCACAAACTTTATAAAGTTACTTCCCTGCTTTATAAATCACCCTGACTGTGGAACCGGTGGGCGGTTAGAAAACTTTACTACTAACGGAGATACAAAAGTGGGCGGTAGGTATAAAAAGGTTGACCTCCCCTGCCCTAAGCAGTGATCATTACAGTTAAAGGAGTATTGCTGCTTTTTCTCACAGCACTAAGTAAAGTTCTTTGAACAAACCATATTGTTTCAGTTCCCACAGCACACTAAACCAGGCAGATGAAACAAAACCCGTCTGGAGTGGAGTTTGATCAGTTTGGCACCTCCTGTGGTTTGTCTCAACAGGTGGCCGTGGTCGAGGCCGAGGTTACCGTGGTCGTGGAAGAGGTGGAATGAGAGGACGGGGCATGGGCAGAAGCAACCGAGGCCGGGGAAGGGGGGAGCATCCGGAGGAGGAGGAGGAGGAGGAGGCTTATGACGAGGAGATGGAGGTGAACATTGAGATCTGTCCTTGCTCAACCTGGCTCCCTGCCAGGGTCCCTTTTGGCTCATTTCTCCTCTGTCTGCCTGGCAGTTCTGCGAAGGGGAAGAGCCCATGGGGGAGGAAGACTATGACGACTATTCCAAAGAACTGAACCAGTACCGCAGAAGCAAAGAAGGAAGAGGCAGAGGTATGTGGGCACAGGGACAAACCCCCCCCCCTTTCCTCCTCTTGGAGCCTCGGCTGCCAAAGGCCTCTGCCAAGCAGACACGCGGTGAGATGGGACTTTCTGTGGCTGGGCTGCAGGATCAGCTGGAGTTGTCTTGTTACAGGCATGGGACGTGGCCGAGGCCGTAGTTCCAGGGGGCGAGGAGGCAAGGGGATGGGCCGCGGACGTGGTCATCGTGGCAGATCAGGCCTAGGCAAAGCGGGGGCGCTCAATGAAGAGGACGACTACTATGAGGATGACCTAGGGGTAAGTGGCCCAGGGGGTCCCTCCCTGGCTTTGGGTCTAACTGGGACTTGAGGTTGGACGGAGGCCAGCGTGGGAGTGAACTCCCTGGAAGGCCCAGGTGAGGCCTAGCACCTTCCACCTGCTAGGACTAGGGCCTCAGCGGCACCCTTTCCAGGACAGACAGAGCTGGGCTGCTCAAGGCAGACGCATCAGAAACGCCCGGTTATAAAGAAAATAGGGTGAGGCTGAGGATCCTCCCTTCTCATTGGCCTCCTGGACTCCTCGGCAGTCAGGGCTATTCAAGAGAATTTCAGGGTTGCATGGATCTGACTGAGGGGCAGCTGCAGAAGGGTGGATGACCCAAGTGGGAGCTTAATTTCCTTTTATTCACCCGCGGTAGAAACTATTTGGGATGCCAAATTAATTTTATCTGGCTCTTATTGTTGCCGCTATTCTTTCTTACACGTCGTTTTCAGTTTTTTCACTCTCAGGGTCTGCCTGACATTGACATATAAATCAGCCGAGTGAATGTTTCCCTTGCAATCCGTACAGGACGGAGGTGGCGGCTGTGGAGGTTACAGGCGGAACGATCACGAGAAATCTCACCAGTCGGATAAGAAAGGAAAAGTCGTCTGCAAGTATTTTGTGGAAGGAAGGTGCACTTGGGTAGGTGCAGCCGGTTTATGGCGCTTTGACGCCCGGAAGGGTCAGTGATGCAGCTGCCCGATTGGGTCGTCCCCATGGGACCCAAACCTCTGCTGCTAAGCGAGGCATTTGTTAAGCGAGTCCCACCCCATTTTATGATCCTTCTTGCCACAGTTGTTAAGTAATTCGGTTATTAAGTTAGTCACACGGTTGTTAAGTGAATCTGGTCTTCCCCATTGACTTCGCTGTTCAGAAGGTCGCAAAAGTGGATCACGTGACCCCGGGACTTTGCAACCGTCATAAATACGTGCTGCTGGTTGCCAAGTACCAAATTCTGATCAAATGTCCATGGGGGTGTTGCAGCAGTCGAAAGTGGGGGGGGGGAAAGGGTCATAAGTCACTTTTTTCAGTGCTGTTGTAACTTCAAATGGTCACTGAATAAACGGTTGTAAGTTGAGGATTACCTGCAGGTGCCTCGGAACAGGAGTCTGGGGGCTGGTGCCGGGCTTTTTGTTCCTGTGCTGCCCGGGAGCGGAAAATCCGCCGGCTCCTTCCCTGTGGCATTATGTGGTGGGCGAGGCCGAGGGATGCCAGGACAGATTCTTTCATGTGCATCACTGCCCCCCCCCCCCAAAAAAAAAAAATATTGGTTCTGGTGGCCCCTTTGTTCGAAAAGGAGCCGCTTGGCACTTGCCACTTGGTTCCTTGTGCAGGGAATCCTCTCGGCAATGTTTAATCTCATGGTTGACTGAAAGATTTAGAGACGGCCTTTCAGACCAGAGGTGATAAGAATAATTGACATACAGACGCAGCAGCCCTGGGGTTCATTGGGGCTGTTTTTACCCCGGTCGGTGTTCCCATTGCTTGCTTCGGGTCGTGGCAGCTCCACTCTGCCCCATTGAGGCCCTTACCCTAATTTCTGCAAGACCCCTGCCGGGGGGGGTCCTCCCTTCATTAGACTCCGTGGCACAGCTTTATCGGGACGTTTTGGTTCAATAATAAGAACAACTGACTCAGAGGTCTTTGGGTCCAGCCCCCTGCTTTCCTGCAAGCTTTACTTTCTGCTGGAGTCATTGGCCAATCTGGCCTCTTTTTAAAAAAAATTTTTTTTAAA